AAAAAAAAAATGAAAAAAAAAAAAAGACCCTCAGCAGTTAATTGGGAATACCATTGGTTTTCTTTGTTTGTTTTTTGTTTTTTTGAGACAGCATCTCACTCTGTCATGCAGGCTGGAGTGCAGTGGTGCAATCTCAGCTCAGTGCAACCTCTGCCTCTCACGTTCAAGCAATTATCGTGCCTAAGCCTCCTGAATAGCAGGGACTGCAGGTGCACACCCCCACGGCCAGCTAAATTTTGTATTTTTAGTAGAGACAGGGATTCACCATGTTGGCCAGACTGGTCTCCAACTCTTGAGCTCAAGTGATCCATCTGCCTCAGCCTCCCAAAGTGCTAGGATTACAGGTGTGAGTCACTGCTCCAGCTAGGAATAACATTTGTTATGGACTGAATGTGTGCCTCTAAAATTTATATGTTGAAGCCCTAACACCTAGTGTTACTGTATTTAGAGATAGGAACTTTAGGAAGGGTCCCTCCATTGGGATCCCTTTTAAGACGAGGAAAGAGACACCAGAGCGCTCTGTCTCCATCATGTGAGGACACAGTCAGAGGGTATGGCTACAAGCTGGGAACAGAGACTTCCACAGAAACTAAATTGGCCAAAATCTTGATCGTGGACTTCCCAGCTTTCAGAATTGTGAGAAATAAATTCCTACTGTTTAAACCACCCAGTCTATGATATTTTGCTGTGATTTTTAAAAAGTCTAAAACTTGTAAGTGGTCTAAGATGCCATTCATACTTCTGAAAAGTGTGGATTTCATTGCCAATGTAATGAAACAAGAAGAAGAAATGAGGCGTAAATATAATGAAGAGACAAAGTTATTTTTAGATAAGATTGCCTATGTAGGGAAATGACATTGAATAAATTAAAAATAACATTGAATAAACTAAATTCTAGTAAAAGTTCAAAAAGTAAAGAATTTAAGATAAATATACAGAGTCTAAGAATGCTAGAATACAAAAAAGCAACTCCAGATAAAGACTTAAATAAAAAACAAAACTACAAACTCTTGGAGAGTAATAAAGTCTTAATCGATGTGTGTCAAGACAAAAATAGTGTCAATCAGATATGAGAGGTAGGAAAGAAAAGTTAAACATTTCATTATTTGTAGATAACATGCTGTCCACAAAGAAAATTCAAAGGAAGCCACAATTATTA